GCCCTGACATCCCTCTGCCACCCCTTACTTCTATCCAAAGAGAAATATAACCTAGGATAATTGGAATTGTTCTCTTTCTTCAGTATCCGTCAACTTGCCTTCGTTACTCTTCCGAAACAAGAAACTTTCCTTTTGACAAGAAGCACAAAAAAGCTGACACATCATGCAGCCGGGTTTGTACTGCACTGGCTCATACACAATGATTATAACTGGAACAATTCTAATTAATCAGAGAGCAAAAGAGCATTAAAAAGATTTTATAAATCCCTAAAAAATAAGGTTTGGTCATTTATGAAGGGGAACGAATATTCAGCAAAGCTCTTGAGCTCAAGCAGTCAGAAAAAACGGAGCTGACCACTAGTTGTCCCAATTCATTTGTTATCACAAAGAATTTCATTTTGAGACTCACATGCGATAAGGCTGTACTTTGCAGTGCAGAAGAAGAAATGCCTATTTTTAAGTTCTCACCTCACAAAAGGAATAATGGTGAGATTTCCAATAGTATTCCCCCTAGCTACACAGATTGGAAAATCCTCTCTGAATAGTCAGTCACTAACCGAATAGCCACCAAATCAAAATCTAGGGATGGCATTAATCCTGACAGTAAATTCAAATCACGCGATGCTGCTGGGGCTGATAGCCGACTGACTCCTTTAAACCATGGAAACACAGAGTACTATGCCTGGCTGGCTGCAGTTTGCAATCTGATTATGCGTTTTATTTAAAGCTGTTCTGTCCAAATACCAATCAGGCTTTCCATCAGGTTGCCTGTCTGTTTGCCTTTGAAGTATTTAACCTCACATGTCAGTGTCAGCCAGAGGCAAGCTCCTGAAGCCATATCTTAAAATATTGATGTGGTTAAATTCACTAATCATATTAGCCACTATTGGAACTCATTGCAATCAGCTTCTTCATGCAATGGAATATCTCATTAATTTCCCCCAAGCTATGGGGAATGAGATAGCTTATCATCTACTTTTAAAATAGTATACATCACCAACCCCCTGACATTTAATGCGCTAATTAAGCCCAGACGAGGCAGCAAGTAAACACACAATATTTTCCTAAAAGTATAAGGGATAAGTGGGTAAGGGAAAACATTTGGTTAAAAAAAGCCCTGTTATTCTCAACATTTACACAGAAACAGTCTTTTGCATAATGCCATGTTATTCAGTGTGCAGGTTGCACTCAAAATCCTGAAAATGAAAGGAATGGATGGTTTTAAAAGTGGAGTAAAAACTGGAGTGTCTATTAGTTAAAAGGGGAAATATCATGCTATATTTGAACAATATATTGTAGGGCCATACCTATATAAAGTATATAAATATAGTATTTTTTTCAAAATACCAAACAGATCCTGCATTTTAGCCATGCCTCATTTCGCTCTATTTGCTCTTTCCACCGCTGTTTTTGCAGGGGGCTGATTCTGTGAGCTGCATCTGACCACGCCCCCTGCAGGAGAGGGGAGCGTGCTTTGAGATCAGCTGCTGGGCTGCAGCGGGGAGAAGAGGGGGAGAAAAAGAGATCTCCGTCCTCCGTGTTTTATTCTTATAGAATTAAGAAGAGAAGTAATGTGGCAGAAACCCTCCTTTTTACGCAGCGGTCCAGACATAGACATCAAACGGCGACACATATTCAGTTGCCAGTTACTTTGGCATTAGGGCAGGGATATCTAGATACTTTCCAAGGTTTGACATAATGAATTGTTCTACTTTTAAAGCAAGCAACGATGTTTTCAAATCTGTAATCAAAAAGCTCCTCAAAAACGCTATCGAAGCAGTTCCTGCCGTTGCTACGTTAGTTCAAACAGTAACAACGGACTATTTTTCTTAGCGGATGCATGTCAATTTAAATCAATACATACAACTATTTTTTAAATCAATAAAATCATTTTCTAAATCAATAAAATCATTTAAATTATTATTGGGAGTCATATCGTTACTTTGTTGAGAATGTGGCCATGTAATAAGCGGGATAATGTGCAGCGACGCGGTCATTATGGGGAAAACGTGTTATTTAGGTGTCGCTGCACATTATCCCTTACATATGATTATATATAGCAGGGGTTCCCAAACCTTTCAGCCCGCGACCCCCAAAATAACACTGCCAGAGACTGGCTACCCCCTGTATCATAATAAAATTTGTGCTCAACATACAGGCTCGTTGTCTGAGGATGTCTAACAACCGATGACCTCCTCTTATACTGTTTTAAGTGGCGTACATCATGCTGTGTTTGGAGGCGACACCTAAAAGTTTGTTTTATGTATATTTTGATACCAGCTCCCCCGGGTTCAAATTGAGAGACTCCGGACGTACCAGACAGTATGTTTTCGTGTTTTAATTTTTGTTGCAAAATAACGTCGGCGGTTGTTGTTGGAGACTAGTAGTTCGTCCTGAAGTAAGTTACGAAGTAGTCTTACGTATATAATCTATTATTAGAGATAGCAGTGAGGATTGTGTGTGTAAATCCTTTGAATTCGAGCCGAGGAACGCCTCTATATAGTGCGCGTGGCCTCACGCCTTTGACTTTAATTAAGTATCGGGTGGGGGGCCGGTG